AGTTCTGACATCAAGGCCTTTGCAGTTGCCAGAGATTCTCATGGTTCATTCCCCCCCCTCCAGGTCTGTGGTCAGTGGTCACCTCACTGTGGGCTTCCCTGTCCACCGTCCCTCCCTTTTCCTTGTGTTCTCCATTATCCTTCCTGCTTTTTGTTTTCCCCATAGCTCTTATCACTATCTGTCATATACTACATACTATATTCCTTTCTGGAATGTGAGTTCTTTAAATGTAGAGATTCTTGTTTATGGTATTTGCTGCTATATCTACAGTGAAGAGAAAAATGCCTGACAAATAACTGTTTGTTGAATAAATGGATGGTGATTTCGGCAGTTTATTCTGTTTAAGAGTGAGCACTGAAATGCCAAGTGGCAGTTCTTTGTATGTGGCGGTCTTGTCCACTGGTAGTTTTCATGCTGACCCTTCAGCTAATGACTATTGAAAGGATTCAAAGATGGCAACATCTGGAAGTCTGTCTTTGGGGATCTTTCATTTTCTACAGGGAAGAATCCCCCAGTTTCCTTCTCAGACTGTTTGGGGTTTAGGCTGGTGAGAGTAGAAGTACAGCACCACGTACTTGGCTTCTGGCCTGGGAGCTGAGAGAAGTTGCCGCGGGTCCCCTGACATGCTGTGCAGACGGCCATTTCATTGTACTGGTCGCAGCTCCACAGCCCAAGCCGCTGTGCCTGGGATGCTCTCGTGTGGAGCACCCTTTGTTCACGTGCGTCCAAGAATTCTCCTCTGGCCTCCGAAGGGCTGGTGGGAACTTAGCATTGGTGCATCACCTTCCCTCTGCACAGGCCTGGTTTCCCAGATACATGGAGCCTTTGAAGAATTCCCTCTCCTTTCTCCTTGTTATCCACCTCTGTAAGCACCCAACATTTACCTTCACTCCTGTATTTTCTTCTATTGTCCTTGAAGGTTAATACCTTTTTGTATTGATGTATTGTCATTTTAACTAGGCTAAATGGGAGGGAGGGAGGGATAAACAAATATAGTTACTATGCTATTATCAACTGAAATCTGTAGTTCTTAAATCAGTTTTAATTTTGTATTTAAATATTTGCTTGGGGTGTCCTGTTTCCCCTTGCCCTTGAGTATAGGCACTCCATCCTATGCTTATTTGTACTCAGAGAGCCTCACATAGACTAATTATTGGTTTGATTGGCTAATAGTGAGATAATGGCATCAGCAGTCTTATATTTTTTCTTTTCTCCTGGCCTTATTTTCTTATCATTTCATTTCAGTGCCTAAATTGCTATTTCAAAAACTAAATCAAAGCTGAAACCATGGCAGATAATAATTTTTCTCCTTTTTAAAATAAAGCTTTTAAAATATTGAAACCAAATTGCTCCTTTGTTGATCTGATTTTTAGGAGTGAGAGAAAAAAATACTACTATTATTTTAATTATATAAAATTGAAATAACTATTTAATATTAATTTAATCATCCTTGATCTGTTAACTATCCATCCAATAATCCTTAATTTTTATTTCTGCCTCAACACGACTTTGAGGTGTGGCCCAGTGATTTTTCTAAGGTAGCGTGGGGGGAAGTGGTACCCTTCTCAGTTAACATTCATCCTTTTTTCTCCCCACTTTCTACTTTTGTCTATTACCAGAATATATGAGAATTTCGTTTTAAAATCAAGCATATATAATGAACATCTTAAAGGCAGGTTGTCATCACAGAAGCAGGTGAACTTGGGTGGACACATGGCGTCTATCTGCACGTATTTCAGAATTGGTTCTTCTACCCAAGTGGATTAGAGCAAGCAGATACTTGGCTGTGTTTGAGTTGAGGCCCTTCCCCTTGCGTGTTGTTAAAGATTCTTTCCTATTTTGGAGAACCAAGTATTTCCATTTAGACTGGTTTATATGATTGTCATTAAATTTGCTAAGGGACCGACAGGATCCCTTTATAGCAGTTTGATGAATCAGTTTCCAATTCCCTGCTTGAACTGACCTGTGACTTAGGAAATGCCTGTAAATTAAAAGTAGAGGTTCATGAACAGATAATAAAAGTTTAAAATAGAACAGTCTTCATCAATTTTCTGAAACAGACCTCTTTGAGGTACATAAAAATGTAGATGAACAAGCAGTGATCAATTTTGGGTTTAGAATATAACAGTTTAAGGACAATACAGACAACTCAGGAAGTTTTGATGTAGTAATATAACAGTACACCAGTGGTTACAAAGGTTATTTTCTTCAAGTTGTAAAGCCTGAAATTTAGAAAGTAGTTTTTAGGGTTAGTTAAAAGTTTCACGTATTTACAAGGGAAGATAACGGGATTGTACACATGCATTAACTCTGTGGCCATTATAGATGTGTCAGAGAACTGCGCACATAGTTCCATCCTGCTTATTGGGTAAGCCGACTACCGTTTTTGCAACTTAACGGTGGACCTTTGAGGAAGGCTCTGATTGTGGATACAACCTGAAGTTTAATACCAGTTAAATCAGCAATTTCGACTTTGTTATGACTGTTCTGATGTTTTTTTCTCTGAAAAGGAACGAGGGGAACATGATTAATAAAATCAACCCACTACATTTAATTTTGTTTTTGATGGAAATATTTCCTCCTATAAAATTTAATGGCCCTGAATTTAACTGCAGAGATTATTTACAATGACCAGACCCATCCCCTGAGAAGTAATTTAAAACAATTCTGTTAGAATTCAGATAGCCAATCAAAATGAATGTTGTGGAACATTATAAAAAAGGACTGTGTGAAAGTAAGTTCACATCTGGTCCGATATTTCGATATTCCTGCTCTTCGGCCCCCAAGAGAAGTCAGTGCGCACAGTGAAGTCTTTTCGTTGGCTTTGCACTCCGTGTTTAGGACTGATTTAAGATTTAAAGATGAAACTGCTTTATTAGGAGGTCCTTTGATAACCAGTATTCCCCCTTGCAAAAGAGGGAAAATAAATCTTGACTTTCACCAAAAGGTATTCTTATATCCAGTAGTTCTATTGCGAGGTATTTGAGTGTTTTTATCTGAATAAGGGAAAATAAGACAATCTAAAAAATACTTTTTCCAGACAGGATCCCTTCAGTCAGTTCCTTGGGCACATGAAATCCATGAATGCATTCATGTTATATATGAATAGATTCATTTATGAACTATTTGTTGAACAGATACTACTTGGCAGCCAGTGTTCTTTCTAGTACCTAGTACCTTTCCGCATGTCACACAGATGAAGCTCCTACCCTCGCAAGAGGACAATATCTTGGATCTTACATTCTTAAAGAGTGATAATAGTGCACATCCTTCCTGTATTTTCTTCTTCTGTGTTAGGCCGTGTGTGCTAGAGCTTTGCATTTTCAGATTGATGAGCCGTGGGAAGCCAAGACCCCGGTAGCTGCAAGTGCCTGAGCTTGCTCTCCTGCAGAAGGTGCCCCAGGATTTTCCTTCTTGCTCATGTGTTCATTCCAACCTGAAGTCCCTTCACATACACTTTGTCAGTCCCCCAGCCTGCCGTCTTCCCCATGGGTTCCGTACAGTCTCAGTTCATTGCTTTATACAACTGAGTGAGTGTGCACAGGCACACATTGTATACACGTGCCCACACTTTTCTGCTCCAGCTAGATTTTCAACTTCAGGATCACAATCAGTGATCTTACATGTGCTTTATGTGTAGTAGGAGTCAGTGTCAGTTATTTGTTGACTTCAAGCTACTGCCCTCAAATTGCTTAAAACCCCAGCAATTTCTTTAAAAAGTATTCCACATTGAATTTTTGAAAATGGCCTGCATTCCTTGAAGGTTTGTGTTTTATGGTTAAACCACTTCATGTATCAAAACCTTTACTTCTGTGTTTAAAGATTATATATAGATTATGCTAATATGAAACTTGTCTCATGCTCATTAGGAGTTTGTTTTTCATGTTCATGAGCCCCATTGCCTTTGTGTGGCGGTGGGGTGGTGGGTGGAGAATCACCCTAATGAGGCAAAATTATACAGCTAAATCAGCATGACCATACCTAAGGCTTACTTTTTTTTTTTGGTTGGAGAGGGTATTAGGTACCATTTTTTCTTTAACTCTCTTCCTCCTACCTTCCTTTCTCCAAAAAGTTTAAGCTAGATATAATAATTTCCATTATGATTTTTTTCCTGTACAATTGGTTACTATCAAAATACACAGGCAGATAGTCCCTAGAGGTTCCATTTTATCAGAGCCTAGCGTTCTCTCCTCTGAAAGCCTCCCATTAAGAGAATTTCAGTACCATCTCTCCCTGTGAGTGAGCCTTGTTTCCTTTGGGACAAGCTTTGACCTCGCTGGGTAAGGCATTGTGCTGGGAGAGACGTGGGTCAACAGCGAAAGAGGAAAAAGCAATCACAGTGTTTTATGCTAATAGGTGTATTACAAACTGAAGTATTCATGTGTTATTAGTTGGTTATAAATTCTGTTCCATCTTTTGTTTCCCAGCCTTTCACTGGGACTAACTTGTGAGTCCTAGCAGTCCATTTTTTATTAGGTCTGAAAAATTCTATATACAGAATTTTAATTTTAGTGAGTTAAATGAATCAAAGCAAACGGTACAAGATTGAGTATAATTATCAAGTAATTAGTTGAAAACCTTTGAAAGAAGGTAAATCTCATTTTAGACTTTTGTTTGTCATAAGTGGCAACCTAAAAATATCTTTTGTAATTAATATGCTTTGTAGATTCCAAAAACTGTTTTGAGTGAAAGAGGTAATGTATAATGGATGGATGTTATTATAAATACCTGAATTATTTGTTTGTATTTTGATAACTCTAATGTAAGAATATTCATTAATACCTTTGTATCCCAGACTGATTTTTTCCTTAGAAGCCTAAGTTTGTCCTACTTTTATTCTCCATTATGTGCTTGATTATGCATGTTGCAGGTTTTTTTCAAAACTTCTGATAGAAGCACAGATTTTAAAATTATATTTAAGAAAATCTGGATGTAAAATAAATAACCCTTAGTTGACATCATGAGAACATACATTTGCTAACCTTGAATCCACACCGCAGGTTTTGGGCCCTGCTCCCAAGTGGTGTTCCTTCTTAGACAACTTGACAGAAGAATTGGAAGAGAATCCAGAAAGCACAGTTTACGATGATTACAAATTTGTCACCAAGAAAGATCTTGAAAATTTAGGTAAAGAAATTATGATAAAATGTTTACAAGATTATTTTATTTCTACTTGCTGTTTTTGGAGTTTTGAACATGAGATTGGAACTGGGGGAGTCACATTTATCTGATTTTTCTAGATCTTTTCTTTCTACCAAATCAGGTATTAAACATATATTGCCAAGTTTGTAATATTTGCTTAGAGAAAAGTTCAGATAATTCAACCAAGTAAAGCTTTTTTGTGTCTTAAATGAATGATTTTCTTTAGCATGCAAGCTACATGTAGAAAAACATATGTCAAGTAGTATTTAAGTGTAATAAGGTTTTGAAAATACCTAGGAGACTGCTGGTTAATGGTTTCTGGCTCCCTTTTAGGGTTTGCTTATGAAAGACCCTGTCTAAAACTTAGAAACCACAGATTGAATCTTCAAATTGGTAGAACCTTAATAGTTACTCTAGGCTTAAAGGTCACAAATCAAGAAATGCCTCTTATTAATAATCAACACTTAGATAGGGCTTGCCATGTGCCAGGCAATATTCTGATATTTTACATAAAACTCATTTAATCCTCACAACTCTATGGGGAGGGATACTGTAATGATTCCATTTTATAGATAAGAAAACTGGGGCACAGAAAGATGAAAATAATTTGCAAAGGCTTCAGTGGTAGTAAACGTGAGGGTTCAGGTTTAAACCTAGAGTTCACACTCTTCACTTAGCCATACTAAGAGCATATTTATACCAAGATTGCTTAGCACTAGTTTGTGGAATAAAGAGTAGATTTTGCTAACCTTGTTCTGTTGTTGGGAAAAGGCTACATAGCAAATTATTCTGAGTGGGAAAATGTACAGGACCCATTCTCTACACATCCAGTCAATGTGGTTGTCTTTGTAATAAAAAGATGTACAATAGCAGTTAAATATTAAAAGAAAATAGAATCATGTAATAAATAGATTGAGAGGTTCTTATACTTTGTTTTCAAGCTATATTTCACAGCGCAGTTAATCCAGGTGAATTCATTTTTTACCATATACCATCAGAATAATTCTTAGATTTTAATGTGCTTAAAAAGAAAAGAGTTGTATTAGTCTTTTTTAAATGACTTATGAATGAGATAGGGTAAAAATAGGATCTTCCAACTGAAGTGCCTTCCTAAATATCTGGAACATAAATGTTAAATATGCTTTTGTTACACTTACCTACATTCTTAAAGTCATTGCTATGTTGTAGGTTTTTTTAAACTACTGTGTTTAATTCATTTTGGGTGCTTGCTTTTTCAGTCTCATTTACTGTATATATTTTGGGTGAGGAAGGCCGTTATAACAAACATTTTGTTAAGATATAATCATACTGCTCATTTTTTAGATTATGGAAATAGGTGTCATATTCAACAAAATAACAGTTATACTAAAAAGTATTTTCATGTACATGAATATCTTTTAAATGTAAATGGATACCATTTTTCAGTAGATTGCAACCATTATACATAAAACATTTAAATAATTTTTCTTAAAAGTAGATAAGGCCTATGTAACTAACTTACCTTATGTCTTAAGATTATTTTTAGTCCAGCAATAATAACATTGAATATTTGCAAGTTCTGACTTTTCCCAGCCATGAACTTTAGCAGATCCTATAGCATGGTATTTCCCAAAACATGTTTCATGAAATAATACTTTTGTTAGAAGTGCTGGATGAACAGCACAGTGGCTAATGCCATAGGCAATGGCAGGGGACTGACATGCTTTCACATCGCACGTTCCACGTCTACCACTTCCTGTCTGTATGATTTGGCCAACTTACTTAACCTCATTATGCCTTTGTTTTTCTCATTTATAAAATGGGCATAATAATGATACCTACCCATAGGGTTGCTTGGGGAATGAATAAGATAATGCCTCAAAAGTATCAGCACAGTGTCCAAATGTGATAAATGAGTGTTAATTATTATTTTACAAGATTTCTGGCAAATAAGTTTGGGAAATACTAGGTTAAACAAAGTTTTATCAATTTCTTTACTTACGGACTTTTTCAGCCTATATTATCATTGCACAGTGTAAATCTACGGGAGGGGAACGAAAGTATGAACATTTCCCAAACTTACTTGACCATAGAACCTTTTTTTCCTCAAAAGGTCTCTCAGGACTAGTGTTCTGTTGACCTAACTATGGAAAATGCTGCTGCTATCAGACTCTGTTTAGGATCGTTTTAACTTTAAGATCTTTTTGCTTGGTTTTTATTTTATGACCTAAAGTGGAATGGGAATAATTTTATGACCTAAATGTTGGTTTTATGTATTTAATAAAGGGAACAAAAATTATTGTTGCTCTGATTGATGCATGCACAGTTGACCCTTGAACAACATAGGGTTAGGGGTACCAGCCCCCTGTCCTGTTGAAAATCTGTGTATAACTTTTGACTCCCCAAAAACTTAACTACTAATAGCCTACTGTTGACCAGAAGCCTACCAATAACATAAACAGTTGATTTACACATATTTTATATCTGTGTTAGTGTATCCTTACAATAAAGTAAGCTAGAGAAAATAAAATGTTTTTTCAAATTGTCTCAACTCTCCAAAAATGTTTCCAATATATTTATTGAAAACAGTCCCCATATAAGTGGACCCATATGGTTCAAACCCATGTTGTTCAAGGGTCAACTGTATTTTACAGTCTGATCATTAATCAGGTCAGTCATTCTAAGGAAAAGTTATATAATAAAAACATTTGTGCAAGAGCATAAATGCATATTCCGCATTGGACATTTAGTGATGGATGGTTCAGCCACCTCTCCCTCCATGTTTTTTTCTTCTTAAGATTCCACTGTGAAAATGCAAAATCCTGTTAAGTTTATTAACCTAACACATTCTAGGAAAGTATTTTTCTGACCAAGTCTTACAATTGTTTCTGAGATTATCCTAAATTTAATTTTGCCTTTTGGTATTTTAATCAGCAAAAGCTGTGCTTCATGTGGGTATATTCCCTGTGGTCCAGTTTTGAAGATATATATGCTCATCATCTTTCTCTGTGTATCTGCAATTAATAAATAAAGTAATTTCTATGACATAGGCAGAGAGACTATACTTACGTGACCACTAACACCAGTAATTCTAAATGTAATCCACCAAAGCCAGGAAAGCTGGTGAAAGCTATTGTTTAAGGCTGGGTTCCCAAATACCCATTGTCAGTGAACTTTTCATTCATCTACAGTGAAGTGTGTGTATATATAATGTATATGTTAATGTGCACATGTGTGTTTACATATGTTGCTATAAATTTTCCCCTGTTCTTATGAGAGAAAATGTCCTTTCTACATTATTGTTATGACAGAGTCCTTTGTTTTTGGAAATACGGGTGATAGCACTGTGCCTGCTCCCCACCCCTAACTGTTCCACTAGTATGAAAACTTCTTTGCCTGTCTGTCATAGTTCATAAGGACTCTTTCTTTCATTTTTACACTTAGCATTACATTTATAATAAGTAAGGGTGATATTGCTTGAAGTGAATTAAATTTTTCTCTATAGTTATTGAAGATGAATTATTCTAATCATTAAATTTTTACTCAGAAGTGAAATCTTACTATAATCCAAGAAATACTGTTCAGTTTTAATCAAGATTTAATAATAATCTGCCTTCTTCTGATTGGCTTTCCTCAGGGCTCACACATCTCATCGGCTCACCTTTTCTCCGGGCATATATGCATGGATTTTTCATGGATATAAGACTCTATCACAAGGTAAATACAAAACTACACTGTATTTTAGTGATTAATGAGCCATTTCTGCTCTACTTACTTGCATTTTCATAAAACATGCTTATGCTTTATAAGATATCTCTTCTTTGGCATAATAGACATGGTGTATATGGAGCATTCTGTTCTTTTAACTTTTTTTCCCCATTTCGAAAAGGTGAAATTGATGGTAAATCCATTTGCTTATGAAGAATATAGGAAAGATAAGATCCGGCAGAAGATCGAAGAAACACGTGCACAGAGAGTCCAGTTAAAGGTAATCATTGTACTAACCACTGAATTTACTAGAGAAAAGTACAGAATTTTTATCACTATTCCAAAGAAACTGGCCATCCATTTCCTGATTTTTCTATTCTTAGTTTACATCTTTTACTACTATTTTGGTGTATTTTATTTGTCTTGATGGTGGGTACTCTTTACAATTTTTTCGTTATGGACTCCATGGTATTGGTATTGTGGGAAATGATGCTAGATGGACAGACACTGCAGCCCTGTCAAGAAAATCTGGTGGAGTTTCCTGATGGGTTTTCAGTGTTTGGAGAGTCAGGGCTTGCCTGTTCTACTCCCTGGTTCTTACTGACATTGGGCAGTATCCCAGGCTGTCCCCTTGGATCACGGCAGATGGGCACTAGACTGTGTCAGGGTCAGATGGAAATCAGATCGCACATTCTATTAAATAGAATTTAATGTAAAAAATTGTTTATCAGGTATAGAACTGAAAAGCAAAAACACTTAAGGTGTGATGTCTGAAGCAGTGGCTGCAGGAAACAGCTACCACTCCACCCTGGGCAACAAAGAAGAGGCAGGGCTGGGGAACTGGGACCCAAACCTCAACGGAAGGCTGCCTGCCTGTTCTGGGGCCCTCGAGTTAGGATGAGGCCACTCCAGGGAAAGTCAGAAAACTGTAAACGGGACTTGCCCACTCTGCTGGAAGCGCCTGGTGCTGCCAGCATGGAGAACTGTTGACATGTGATGCCAGCCCAACAGCAAGAGGAAGGGGGGGGCAGGTCCCTTCTCACCTTCTGCCTTGCAGTCTCTCTAACAGCCTCTCTTGATTAAGGTTGACCAGCACATGATGCAACCATGTCTAAGTGAACATTAGCAGAACACACACAAACACGCACACATATATATGTCTATACACATAATTTGAGTACAAGGAACATGACCGTTTTCTCTGTTTTCCAGAGTATGTTTTTAAGAGCAGTGAATGTGTGTACATTGGCATGGTTGGGCTAGGGTATGAAGTACTTTTGTCTCAGCTCTTTGTAGTATCATCAAAGTTGTATTTTACTTTTCTGTGGAACATAAAGCATTAACTGGTAACAGACAAAAAAAGAATGTAACTTTATCCTGAAAGTTGCCAGACTCATATGCAGAATTCTCCTTAGAAATTTGCCATTTCAGGAGCAGAAAATAGTGCAGTTAGCATTACTAGTAGCATTTGAGGGGTTCCTTGCACCTCTGGCCAGAGGCTACATACCAGGCCTACTGGCCTGCTGTTACTCAAGGGCCTGTGCCCACAGAGGCTGACCTCGGCCAAGTGCAGCTTCTCCCAGCTTCCTGCTCAGCCCAACAGGGAGAGGCCAGGTGAGGGGGCCTCCCAGCAGCGGAGGTTGCTGTTTTTGTGCCATTAACCACATTATTTCCTACTTGGGGTAATGAAATGTAAAATAAGAGTTAGATATTTTCTATCTGTGAGGTTATATTCTTTATAGAACTGTTAACCTTTAAAGCCAAGATATAGGTATTTCAGTACAGCCTTTTTTTTCCTACTAGAAATTGCCAAAAGTTAACAAAGAGCTGGCACTTAAATTAATCGAGGAAGAAGAGGAGAAGAAAAAATCTACATGGAAAAAGAAAGTTAAGGTAAGAGTCTATAAGGCAGAGAAAATTTTGATAAAATTGTTTCTGTATTTTCTTAATAGTAACTTGTAAATGTCTGTTTTTTATTTTTTCTTCTTGAAAAATGCATATAGTGTTTTTCTTACTCTTTTTTTCTGCTTATAGGATAGAATATGCTCAATATGGGAAATTTGTAAAATAGATGGAAGGAAGTCACCCATTTGATTCTGACCAGAGCAAGGCAGCATTAATATTTTAGTGCAGTTCACATGGTGGGGGGGGTCCCAGGAAAGACAGTGTAGCACAGAGAAGACAAATAGTGCCCTGTGGCATCTTACTACACTGATGGACAGTGACTGCAGTGGGATGTGGGGGAGACTTGAAAATACAGGTGAATGTAGTGACCACTGTGTTCAATGTTTTTCATGTGAAACCTTCCTAAGAGTGTCCATCAATCATACCTTAATAAAAAAAAAATTTTTAGTGAATTTCCTCTAGTCTTATTTCTCTTAAAATTATAAACCATAATAGCAAGATAATGTATATTAAAAATATTTATCCTAGTTCTATAAAATAACACGAATAGTTTTCCATTTTATTAAAACTTCTTTGTAAATATTTTTGATACCTGCATATTCTATCTTATGGATGTGTTACAATTTACTTAATCCTTGTCTTGTTAAATATTAACATTGTTTATTGTTTTTCTTTGTACTAACTAGGTTTGTTTATAGTCTAGAAGTAACCAGTTTTTATTTAGACTTGGCGTTATTGGGAGCATGGACTTTGACATGGAACTGCTCCCTGCCTTCATTTGCTAATGTGAAAATAGATGAAGATAGGTCATAAAGCAAATAAAACTTAGTGCTTCATTTGGCTGATATTATCAAGACAAGAGGAGATTTACTAATTTTCTCAGGTGTATAAAGACGTCCTCATTATGTCCCCCACGCCCGCCCGCCATGCCGTTTTCCCCGTGCTCACACCAGGCAGGCAGATGACCAAGCTCGGTGACCACTAGAACGGTAAAGATCAGCTCTCTCCTCAGAAGGTCACTGCTGATGAATTAATGGCCTGGCTTGCCACTTTGGGCCAGCTGTATCGCACTGTTAGTAAGTTTTTGTGTCCTCATTTCTTTTTTTCTCTGTTCTCTAGTTTCTGACTGGGTGAGGGAATGGCAAATAAACGAGCTCTCTGCATGTTTGTATTTGTTCCACTCTCTTGAATGATGGCTGAGGACCGCAGCTCAAGGGCCTTGTTTCTGGCCCCATGCTCACTGTGTCATCCGGGTGACCCTCAGCTTCCCTGGGTCATGGTTCCTCTGTGGCCAGCAGGCCCAGAGAGAGCAGCCTCGGTCGGTGATTCCTGAGGGGCTCACATGTAGTGCTCCCTGCTAGTCTCTGCTTCCCCTGCCTCTCTGTGCCCTGGCATTCTGGTCTAGTACATTCTTTTAATACATTATTTAAATCTTAATTTTTAGACGCCTTCCTTAAGTAAATACATAGGTGGCTTTTATTGAAACAGTTACTTGAACTTTTTATGTATGTTCCTATCTATGTGCTATGGCTGTGCGCCTTTTTAATTGACATCAGTGTGTTAAATGTCTGTGTTTATCTTAAAGTGTATAAAAGATAAGTACTTTGTGCTCTGTTGAGTTTCTCAGAATTCTCACATTGATTTTCTTGCTAAGCCTGAGGAAGATTAGGGAGGTAACTTCTCAGCTTCATAATGTCATTTTACAAGCTAAATGCAAGTGATCTTTGGATTTACAATGCCCTAAAGCTTCCATAGGAAGAGAGTGGAGCTCATTTAGGCTGCAGATGTATGCATTCCTATCTGTTTCATGCTTGTGAGGCCTTATCATTACCCTTGATGTTATAGAGGGTAGGACAGTTAAATTAAAATTTAATTTTAATCCTGTGCCTCGGGTGTGCAGTGTTCCAGAGCCTTTTTAAAGGCCTTTGTGATTATAAAGATGTGAGAAAGTTCCCCTTGCTTTCTCTATCCCTTCCTTTGGCAGACTTTTCTTGAGGCTGGGGCAGCTGGAGAAGGTTATAACACAGTAGTGCAGGACGGAAAAATGACCATTTTGAAAACAGGCAAAGTGGTCTTAAGTCAGTGGGAAAAATCATGATTTTCTGTGCCTTTAAACAATTTTGTCAAAATATTAGTAGGGTCACCCTGTAAAGAATCACCCCTGCAAGCACAGGGAGGAAAAACCTTAGAAATTCATATCTTCTTTCATCCAAACAGCAGTTTCTCTCCAGCTCTTGGAAGCTGGAGTTGCTATTTTTGTCGCTATGTTACGTGAGAAAATTCTGCTAGAAAGCGGTATTTGTAAAATGTGCCCCTAATTTCCTTTTTGGTAGCTTGCTGACCAAAATGAGGCCCTTTTATCAGAGCTTGGTTTCTTTCCAGAAATACTTAAATACAATCCTCTAAAAATCTGAGACTGCTATTAAACAAAGTTTGTAAGACTTGTTGTTTAACAGTGTTGTCTAATTACAATGAAGATCTTCAGAACCCTTCATGAATTAAGGAAAGAATCCTTCATATTGTAAAGAATACTTGAAAGACTTGTTAAATCCATCAGCCGTTCATTAGTCTTGCCCTTGATCTAAGCTCTTGCAACCCTCAAAAGCTTTGATAGCTCTGATAACTCCTAATTTGCAAGTCAGTCTGCTTGGTTATGTCTTGCTCTGGCATCCACTGAATTCCATGAAAGCAGAACAGTGAAGTAAGTTTCCAAATATTGCTTCCCCTGATAATGTAATCAGTGTAATCAGATGTTTACCATTTAGTTGATGTTGGAGCTACAGTAGGAAGTGACCTACCACATCATGTCAAGATGCAGCATTATCTAGACTTTATCCAGACTTTAAAATTTGGTGCTATTAATTCTAATTAAGAATTAATTCATTTAGTCTTTCAACAGATGTTGTTGAACTCCCACTATGCACAGGTAGCTTGGAGAGGCATGGCATGGGTGGTCCTTTTGATTGGTAAGGGTCTGAGTTTTGGTCATTCTTACCAGTGGCATTTCCTGGCTGTTGGCCTTGTCTTCCAAGTTGTCGCTATTGCCTTAGTCTTAGTGAACGCACTTCTCCTGGGTGGGTAAGAGGGTGACTTCTATTCTAGGGAAGATCTCTAGCCAAACGCTTTTAAACTACGGTAGACCATCACTAATAACACCTCATCCTACTTTGTTTTTTTAAGACACCTGTGAAAACTACTAGGCGAAATATTTTTATATTTTTATTTTACAATTGGATCACAGAGTTTTTATTTTATAATTGTTCATCCAAAGCATACTTGCCATCAGGCAATGCAATTTATTTGTTTTACATTAAGAAAAAACTTAAGAATACTAGCAACATACTCTTTCTTAACACGTTTCTGTTATTTTTAAAATACAATTTAATAAATGCAGCAAGATGAAAAGGAAAAAATTTCCCTTGGGTTTTATTTTATTTCCTTATCTGAAAATGTATTATAGGCTAATAGCTATTCATTTCACATATTTGGGTCTTTGGCAATATCACCTATGTTTTATTTACAGATAATTCCAAAATTTATGCAGTTTAGCCGCTTCCACTCTCCAGACACCTGGTTGGTGCCTTGGCCCCAGGCCCCTAAGGGTGTCCATCAGAATCCAAATGACATTCCCCTTGAACCATAGACTTAACCAGTCTTACAGGGAACATAATTTGCTTTTCCTTGTTAATCTTTATCATTCACTGGAATTTAAACAAAAAAATTTACAGCAGATTTAGCTTCACGGCAAAATTAAGGGGAAGGTACAGGGCTTTCCCACATACCACTGCCCCAACCTGTGCACAGCCTCCCCCACAGTTAGCCACCCACCAGGGGTACATTTGTTGTAATTGGTGAATCTGCACCAACCTGTCATTATCACCCAGAGTCCTTTGTTTACATTAGTCTTCACTCTTGGTGGTGGTCATTCTGCGTTTAAGCAAATGTATAATGATGTGTATCCATCATTAGCATATCAAACAGCGCATTTTCACTGCCCAGAAGCTGCTCTCTGCTCCGGCTGCTCCTCCCTCCCCACTGACCCCTGGCAGCTGCTGATGTTTTCACTGCCTCCGTTGTTTCACCTTTTCCACAGTGCCATGTAGGTGGGGTTATACATATACAGCCTTTCCAGATTGGCTTCTTTTACTTAGTAATACGCGTTTAAGGTTCCTCAATGGCTTTTCATGGCTTGATCGCTTACTTCTTTTTAGCACTAAAATAATATTCCAGTGTCCAAATGTACTAGTTTATTTATCCATTCCCAAACTGTAGGACATCTTGGATTCTTGGAACATAATTTCTTACACTTTACTCCACCTACGCCTCTTTTTCTGATGACCTCCAGTGATGGATCCTAACTCATGATATCACCAGCTTTCTAGTCACTTAAATTAGTGACTTGAGAGAAATTTCTAACCGTGTTTTTCACTCTTCCTCCCCCCATCTCCTTCATAGCTATCCATCAACCCTTAGAAATACGACTCAGAAACATATCTCACAATAATCCTTTCCTAAAACAGTACTTATTCCCACCCCTGGATTCCCGTGCCTGATTCAGGCCTGTCTGTCTTCCGGGTTCCTAAGCGGCCTCTCGGTCTTCCTCGTGACTCGGCTTCTCCCTCCACAGTCCGTCACGGACCGAGATGCCCAGGACTCTCCGAGCAGAGCTGTCTTCGGCATCTGAAGGTCTGGAAGCATGCTTGTGTCCGCTTCCTCCTCGTCGTCCTCTTCTTCCTGAGTAGTTTACCTTCAGAATAAAGGTCATGGTGTTTAAAATCCTTTACAGCGTGGCCTAATCAAAAAATGCTCTTTCAAATTTTGCTGTTATTCTTGCAGCATCAGACTGCTCACCACTCACCGGTAAGCTGGAAGTGCCTTTAAATTTCTGTCTCTTCAAACCTGTTCATCTTTTCAAGCCTTTTCCCAGATGTCACAACCCCAAGAACCCTTCTGAGAAGTCTCTTGCTGGAATTACTTTTTACCTCTCTGTTCCTAGAGTGCTGTCAGCTCTGTTTCATCTCCTTCATATGGTGCCTGGTAGCATGCAGGGGTTTTTTCTTTCTTATTAGATTGGGAGCATATTTCTTGGGATCAGGAACTAGATCTTACCTGTCTTTGTTTCTTCCTTGAACCTAAATCTGTCTTGGAGATGATATTTAATCAGAGAAGACTTGTTCAATATCCCTTAAGTATATATTCAGTATATTACAGGATTTTAGGTAAGGGTTTATCATGTTTTAGGTACATACAAGTTATAAACAGCCCAAGTTCCTTAATGTCTCATGTTTTACCAAATTTTTGTATAGCTCTACTATACAAGCACAACATTCAGAAGTTAGCTACTCACAACTGTATTTGCTCTCAGTAGTGGAAAACAGTCAGTAAAATAAAGTCCATTCAGTAGAGCTTGAGTCCACTGCAAACAGTTTAGCTTTTTTAGCCTATGTTCAGGCTGTTTACTCTGCTTTGCAAAACCACATTAAGTAGGTTGATTCATCTGGTTTCCAAGCCTGTAGCAGGTAAGATACATAGGAAAGCCCTGAGTGTATAAGGTTGTCATTTGTTTACATGAACAGATAAGTTTACAATTTATTCTACTAAACTTTCTTTTCAAAAATGGTACAAATAAAATGTAACTTAGTATGTCACTCCTGCGCTATCCCAATGTCTCAATAGCGGTTTTATTATGTCAAAAATGACAGTCTTATACTTTGTCCTTTGAGAGCAATTAAATAGTCTAGGGGGAAGAAATCAGTGAGGCTCTCTGTCCTATAAGTGATGGATATGTTCTCTATGTTTCCAGATATCTCAGTTGGAGTCAGTAAACTTACACCACCTGCTCCCCACCATGTTAATTCTTGGCTTTTATTGATATATATTTCCTCTCCCAGTTTTGGAATATGAAATTGAAAACTCACTAATTTTAATTTGGTATAGTGGCCACACTTAAAAAGCCATGTTTCAAAAACATGTATTTTCTTGAAAAGTTTTTTGCATTAAAAATGTTAATTGAAGAAAATTCTTTATAATGTATTAAGTGTAAAGTTAACCAGAAAGGCTCATTCTTAGTCCATTATGTATAATGGCCAACTAATACATACCACCTGTGAAATGCATTACTGGAATTTGTTTGGGGTTGGAGATAAAACCCAGAGGCAATTAGAAAGTTCTGGAAAATAATTCTAAAGGAATTTTATAGTAAGTTACACTTTATGCAATTTATTAATTTAGAACTGAGTGAAATGTTTTTAAGCCATCTTTCTGGTCAGGTTTTACTCATATATTAACTTTAGATTTTTAGATTCTTCTTTTTTCTTTTTAATGATCTTTTTCAATTTTATGTTGAGGTACATACAATAAAATGAACAAATCTTAGTGTACAGCTTGCTGAATTTTGACATGTGTATACACTTACGTAACCATCGCCCAGATCAAGATATCAAACATTCTCACTTATTTCTTTTCCCTTCACCTATTTCATCCATCCCCCTGCTCCCCTCCCCTGTAGTAACCACCAGCTATTCTTTGTGTTTTCAGGATTTTTTTATTTGTTCATTTGTTTTTCAGATTCCACATATAAGTGAAATCATATGGTATTAGTCTGTCCCTGACTACATTCTGTTTCTTCCAGAGCCTTCCTAACATACTCACCGATGATCGATTTAAAGTTATGTTTGAGAATCCTGATTTTCAAGTAGACGAAGAGAGTGAAGAATTTAGGCTTTTGAATCCACTTGTTTCAAAAATTAGTGAAAAAAGGAAGAAGAAACTAAGACTCTTAGAGCAACAAGAACTTCGTGAAAAGGTAACATACTCTTTATTATTTAGAATTTGCTGCTGTTTCTTTCACATAAAGTTTTCCGAGTATACTTGAGTCGTAGCTTGTGTGGCCGTCAGCTTAGGAGTGTTTCTGCTTTAACCAGAGGCATTTTCTTTCCTATGCCTGAGATGTCATGAACTCTGGTGGGCTAATGCTGTTCAGAGGAAAATAACAGGTCGGTGTTTGGTTGGGGGAAAGGGGCTGCTTCTTACTATTTTTATTCTCAGGAAGAGGAGGAGGAACCGGAAGGAAAGCCAAGTGATGCAGCAAGTTCCGAGAGCTCCGATGATGAGAAAGGCTGGGTTGAAGAGGTCAGGAAGCAGCGCCGACTGCTCCAGCAGGAGGAAAGGGGGAGGCGGCGGGAGCAGCGGCGGGAGGACCAGCAGACGGTCCTCCAGCCCCAGTTCTATGAGATCAAAGCTGGAGAAGAATTCAGAAGCTTCAAAGATTCTGCCACAAAGCAGAAGTTGATGAAGTGAGTAATACTGCATTCTCAGTGATGACTTGACTGTTGTCGAGTGTGCTCGTCCTTGCTGGCACGTCGCCTTGAAGATGACATTTTGATCTTCGGAGTTAATGTGAGGGAAGCGCCTCAGGCCTGAGGGGAAGTACACTGGTCTTTAGGGTCAATATTTTTAACAGTTTTTGTAGGGAGAGTTTACATAGAGTAAGATACAGGATCTAGCCCTATGAGTGTTGACAGCCAAACTTAGAACTCTTTGATGCTGCCAAAGCCACTCTTGTCCTCTTTTTTTTCCCATCAGGTTCCCTAATCTGCAGGTAATCTATCTTATTCTATGCCCTACAGATCGGTAGTCTTTTATACAGTGGTAATTAAAAGGTAACAAATTCTTTGCCTCTTAACAAAAATTTATTTTTAAAAATTACAATTTCAATCATGTTTACCTCCAGCTCAGTTTACCTATTATTGAGAAGGTCACTGGGAAAATTTGCCAGATATTTTAAGCCTCTTACTAGAAAATTGAGAGATTAGGATGAGTGGTTGTCTGCACTAATGAAATACATGGGGAGTAGAGCAGTGATTGCCAAGGACAGGGGGAGGGGGAATGAGGATACACGACGTGAGGGGTACAGAGCTTCACTTCGGAATGGTAACAAGTTCTGGAAAAGGATAGTGGTGATCGTTGCACAAGTGTGGATGCCCACTGATTTGCCCGTTTTAAAAACAGTTAAAATAATAAGTTATATGTTACATAGATTTTACCACCAGAAGAAAAAGTTCAACCTTTGGGGAAAAAATAGTATTATTTGAACAGTTTCAGTTGTCAGGTGTCTAAGGAAAAGGTTAGGTATTCAAGTCCAAACTGTGTATAAGCTCTAAGTTAGGGAGTCTCTACTTTGAGAATTTCTAGGCTAAGTATTAATAGACAAGATTTGAACATGATAGATGGTGGCAATAGATAATCTGGAAAGAAGAGCCTGAAGGTCTGGGGAGCCAGCAGGGACAGAGGAGGAAGAGATGGGCAGGACAGATGAGGCGTTAGGTCAGGGGCAGTACCAGCTTTGCACCATATACTTCCCCAGCTCCCAGCTTCCTGATGAGGAAAATGTGGTTTTTCTGATGGAGGAAAGGGGCAAAGGTGGAAAGGGCACTCCTGGACAGGCGGAGTTGTTTCTGGAATAGAGATGTGCCCATTCATCATTATCTCACCAGCTCCTAGCATGTATCTGGGACACCAAGTGTTAAGCAAATCTTTCAACTTAGAATCCAGCAATGGCTTGACTAATTAACAAAGGACGTATTGGTGAGTAAAGAATCTAGTAATAGACTTGATGTCTTTTGAAGACCTACCGAGCTAACTTTTTTAAATGGCAATTTTCTTAAGATACAATTTATGTAACACACAAATCACCTACTTAAAAGTGTGTAAATCATTGTTTTTAAGCATATTCACAATGTTGTGCAGCCATCACCACAGTCAATTTTAGACTTTGGTCTCCCCCAAACTACACTCCATTCATTCCCTGTTGGCATTCACTCCTGTTTGCCCCACCCACCCCATCCCCAGACCACCGCTCATCTACTTTCTGTCTCTATAGATTTGCCTATTCTGACATTTCATATAAATGGAATCATACAATATATGACATTTTGTCTGGCTTCTTTTACCAGCATAATGTTTTTAATGTTCATGCATGCTGTAGCATGTGTCAGTTTTTATTGCCAAATGATACTCATTTTTATTGCCAAATGATATTTCAGTGTATGGATATACCACGTTGTATTTAACCATTTATCAGTTGGTGGGTATTTGGGTTGTTTTCACTTTCTGGCCACTACAGATAGCACTGTGATGAACATTTTTGTATATGTTTTTACATGAACATAAGTTTTCATTTCTCCTATGTACCTAGGAGCAGAATCGATGGTCACATGGTAATGTTGTGTTTAACCTTTTGAGAAATTGCCAAACTGTTTTTCAAAGAGGCTGCTCCATTTTACACTCTGTGTGTGTAATTTCACTTTTTATATAGCTCTTATTATTAAATATTTTATTTGGAGTCCCAGTCAGATCCTATGCAGAAACAGAGGGAAGACCACTTGTTTCTGGTATTCTGATTCTGTGGGATGTATTTCTTTGTTAGATTATCTGCTGTTTTCACCTTGTTTTACTTACTCTATCCCTGGCCTCTGAATCAGTACCTAGGCCCAAGTAGGTACAGTGAAAGGTACTGTGAAGCTGTCCTTGTGAAAGCATGAATCTTCCATACCTTAGCTACCTGTCAGGCAATTTGGGAAGTTACCCTTTTAAGATCTCCTGAAAAAAAGAAAACTCATTTACTCCCAACTATTGACCAGACAAATCTGGGAGCAGTTTCTTTTAGTGTAAACATGATTGAAGGAGGCCATGGCGTGGGGTAGGAGGCATGACTGAACTCACTTCACCTTCTTGGGCTGCGTGTGAGTTGTAGCAGTATATTAATGTAAAAACAAAAGGGATAAAAATTTAGGATTTCACGAGTAAATACTAGCTAAGTTAATGCACTACATTAAACATTCTTATTAAGTTAAATATCACTAAGTTAAATAATTTTCTTGAGAACAGCTATGTAAGTAATAATACATATATGAGCTTAAAAGAAAAATCTTACTGCTTAAAGTAATAACCCTTTGCTATGAATAGCCTGCAGTTTGCTGGTGTTTTGGCAGAGTGCTTATTGAATTCTAGCCTTGACTTGATTATTTTGGCAAATCCTGAACTTGCAATATCTTAATATTACTTAATGAAGCATTGGACCATTATCTTTCAGAGAACTGAAGTGACGCCTTATGTTTATTCTGCGAGTTACCACAAGGCAATCAATAAAACACATCAAAATTGAGTATATTATGTTTAAATGTTCACTTGGACTTGCCCAGCTTTAAAACTATTTCTATAAAGGAAAAAGTGAATAGTAAATTCTAACTCGGTCCTCTGCTTGGCATAATAACGTGGCTTTAGATAAGTACATATGTCTGTCACACATATGTATCTGTCTTACAGTGGCTATACGTCATTGGTGAGTTTATTCACCCACCTACCAGCCTCTCCACCCAGCCATTCAATCAGATGTTCACTGAGGGCCTAGTGTGAGCAAGGTGTTGTCCTAGACCTGGGAGTGGAAAGGAAGGCACAGCTTCCATACCTGTAGCTTTCATATTCTAGCCAACACTGTGTGAGCTGTGAAGGGCACATGAAAGTGCAGAAGAAAGAAAGGGATTTAATTTTTGGAGATTTAAGAAAATCTTTGCAAGAGGTCACATTGCAACTGGTCGTTTGAATGATGAAAAGATGAGCACTGGAAGCAGGGAGGAGGGACGGCGTCCCGGACAGAGGGAACAGCGCGGCTGAAGGACTGCTGTGTGGGCCCCGAGGGAGGGCCAGTGCGGCCCCAGGGCATCGCATGCGTGAGGGGCACCGTGGTGGACGAGGCCCCAGCCCGTGCGCTAGAGAGCCTCAGAGGGCTTTTAAGCTAACATGAGTACGATCAGATCTCTTCCAAACCCATCCACCAATTGTATAAATGCTTACATAATAAAAGCAGTAGAAAATAAAGTAATAAAATGTAGAAAATAAAAATAAAAACATAGATATAAAAAGTCCCTATTACCCAGAAAATGTCAATGAAGTATCTCAGTTTTAGAGAGAAAGTGGGCACCTGGGCTCAGCTAACAGACTATATGTCAGTCCCAGTCGGAAATGATGACAGCCTGGACCGTGGGGAGGGAAGAAGTAGACAGACATACAGCCAACGTATCCCTAAGACTGTCTAAGAATAAGAGAAATGGGCGTACACTGCAACATTGTCTGGTTACTGATTTACTATCAAAGGAGAAAGGATTAGTCAGGGGTGATATTGAAATGTCTAGTGGTGTTGCTACCAAGATAAAGAACACAGAATGAAAAACAGGTTTCCAGCTGGGTATTAAGCACAGCAAGCCTCCGGTGTCCAGATGTCTTGGTAATGTTCAGCAGACAAATGGAAATGTAGGAGGCAGGCAGAGATATGGTTTAAGAGACGCCAGCTTTTATTGTGTGATTGAAACCACAGTATGAAAAAGACTCACCGTAAGTGCGTAGGGTAACATGAGGGCTAAGAGAGGAGCCCTTAGGAACAACAAATAATTTTATTGAGTCTGTGATAAAAACCATACACCTCTGTTTGGGAAGACCTAAATGGATATAAAAGAATACATATAATTTAAGAGCTGTCACAGATATATTAATAGCCTAGGGCTAAGAATTCTGATTTAGAGACGGGCAGTAGAAATTACTAAAGAGTTGTCAGAAAGGTTGGAGGAAAACTGGAAAGAGCCAAGCAGGTGGGGAATGTCACAGAGGGCATGGTGCAAAGGTCAGGTGGAGTGGGGAGGTCAATAGAAAAAAGACTGAAAAAAGGCCATTAGGAAGATTGTCTTGGTGGGATCAGTTTCTCAGGCAGACAGTCCAAGTGTCTGATTTCAGTGGATAAATGAGTGAGTGGAGATTTGAAAATATGTGAACAGTTAGTGTAAATGATTCTTCCAAGAAGTTTAGCACTAAAAGGGAAGAAACAAAGCTGATAACCTGATAGGGGAGATTTTTTTCAGCTTGAGAGATGTGATTTGTAGGCAGAGGAATGAACTGTGGAAAGGAAACAGGAACAAAATGAGAGAAGGGACTAAATTGACAACCAGATTTGGGAACCATCAGGAGGAAATGGGGCCAGGGGCACAGATGAAGGAGATAGCCTCAAAAAGGACAAGGACTCCATATTCAGAGACACAAGGGAAAGAAGTCGCGACGGGTGGAAATAATTACGTTTACGGGTGAAAAGATTGGGAAGCTGGCGCTTGCCGGCCTCAGTCAGTGCTCTGGGCCCAGCAGCCTCCTCGGGTACCTGGGGCAGCCAGTCAGGGCCTGCAGGTGGTGTGATGTGAGCTCCAGGGACGTCGGTGCGTGAGCCGGGGAGGAAGAGAGTCTTAGATGACAGCTTTCTAAGTTTCAGTGGCTGAGGAGATCTCCTCCTCTGGGTAATAAATACTACCTTGTGGGTAGCCTTCAGTTCAGTTTAGGAAAGCATTCTTTGATGCACCTAGGTCTCGGAAATTCAAAGATTTTTTAAGGCATTCCATGTGTTTGAGGAACTCAACTTCACCAGGAAGTTTAGTAGCTCTTGGGGAGCCGCTTATCACGTCTGCAGCAGCGTCTACTTTGTGAATTCGCCAGGGCTTGTCTTCACTCCTCAGCAATCTTCCTCACTGATGGTGAAGGAAAACTACAGGAATGCAAGCTTGCTTTAATATAAGCGTCTTTGAAATCTAATTTTGAAAGCAGTTTAATTCCAAACCTACACTTAGAAAAAATAATCTTTTATTACTCAAGTAATATGTATTCCAGTAATATATAAGCATATTTTCATTGTAGTACTTAACAATGTAGAATAGAAGGTGACAGTCTCTGTCATGCCCCCACACTCCCTCCCTAAGGCCCCTGCCGCATGTGCCTGTTTAGAATTCCATCGCCCTGTTAATGCGCACATTCACACGTGTATGCATTGGCCTTTCTTTTGTTGACTTGAATGGGTCCTACTAGTCATAGTGCGGATTAATTTCTCTTTTCATTTAATAATAGTTTTGAAACATTTCTTTGTAAGTACATGTAGGCCTACCTGATGGCTGCATCAATATTTCATAAGGCAGATGGGCCATAAAATTAATATAAGGTCCCTCAATTTGGGATGTTAGGTTGTTTCTTGTTTTCCTCTTACCTTTTTCACAGTGATAAATACATACACGTGCAAAAATTTATGTAGAACATACTAACTACCTAGTTTTGTAATTTACTGGAACAAAAAGGGTACGTGACAGATATGCCGCCTCACCGTGGAGAAGTCTCTGAGCGCTGTGCCCTTTTACCGGGGTGCCTGTTTCCCCGCCCTTGCGGTAAGTGTGAAGATCGGGAATCTTTTTAAATTCCAACTAAGCCGCTGGATGAGGGATCCGATTTCGTAGTTGGATGAATTTACAGCTCCTGAGATAAGGGCTTTGAATAACATATGCAAATAGAGTTTTCAATAACCTTTGCAGTATGTATAAATGTTTTTCAGTTACTTAGTTAAAGCAAAGTACTGAAAATTTTTTAATTCTTGAAATTTGCTGTTTTTCTGAGGATTCCATCTCTCCATTCTTCCCTTTGGTGTAGACTATGGAGGGGTGATTCCTTTATTTTGAGTTACTGTAACTCTTGTAAATGCTATGCTAAAGCACGGCCTTTATGTGTATTAACTTCCACCCCATCTCCCTTTCCACACGAAGTGATTAAAAACTCTCCATTGAGGGAGCATTATTTTTAATTAAATAATTTTAATAGTTCAGTATAGAATTATTAGTGCATGTGTGTTTTAAAACCTCAAAGAAATAAATGATTCAGCTTTCCTAGGCTATCTAATAAATATCTAACTTGATGTTTCCCCTTAGAGTTTATGCTCATTTTTCTTTTCTCTTGTAAGATAGGCCTGCTGGTAATTCTCGTTCTCCCCTCCGGCCCTCGCCATCCTGTGCTGAATAAATCCTCTTTCCATCTCCTAATGCCCACATCTACCTTCTTAGCAGGCCCCACAGATGTATGTGATGGGGGGTGTTGTTCATCTTGTGACGGTGGAATTGCTCCCTAGAATTCTTACCCTTACACAGCGACTGCAGTGTATCCCAGAGCTGTGCGCCTGTGGCCTGGGTGGGAACAGAAGCTGGAGTGAGGGGTGCGCAGGGAGGGCACGGCTCCTCTGCCCAGGCCGATGCCTTGGGCTAAGCACTGAGGACGCACAGCGTGGGCTTCTGTGTTTTATTCTTCTGTTACAAGAGACACTTTTCAGGTGTCTGCTTCTTAAATCGTCTCTGACTGAATTCACGCTCAAGTTACAGGCCTTGGAACTGCTGGTTAGCAGCCACATTCTGTAAACTGACGTTCAAAGGAAGGGAAGGGGAACTTGCTTTAATGTCGGCACCTCCACACTCGGGCCCTGTCTGATCTCCTGCCATGGCTCGTTCTGAAACTCTGCTTGTCTTTCCATGTAGCCTAGACAGAACAAGTTCTTACAAGTGTACATGGAAAGTACATTGAGAGAAAACCAGAATTTATATACCCTCTCATGGAGGAAATAAGGTCATTCTTAAAAGAGTAGTAATTTCCCACAATTTACTGGAAAAGTCTTTTTCTTCCCAAATTAGTGTTTTCTGTGTACAGCTTGTCTCAGTGGCTCCATAGTTACTCAGAAGTCCTGTTAACTTGAAAACCTTAGAGTTTATAGCTGTAAAAAGAAAGAACAGAAATGAAATGGACAGGTTGAGGAATTTGCTTAGGCTAACATAATTTGAATGCGTGCTGGAGTCAGTTTACACTCCACTTTTGAATTCTTGTTAAAAAAAAAAAAAGCTCAACGAAATCTAAGTTTCATTCAGTTTGTCATGTGGAAGCTTGTCATTTAGAATACTTAATGGACATATTTCCTGAACAAAACTTTATAAATCAAGTATGGTCTGACACATGCCTGGCAACTAGAAATGCTTAAATTGGAATCCTGGTTTCAGACTTGAATCCTTATGTGGCCTGGGGCAAGTCATTTAGCATCTTACCTCCCTTTTTGCCATCTATAAAGGATAAATACTCCTGTCTCAGGGATGTTGAAAGGATTAATTAGTTCGTCTGTAAAGAACTTTGAAGATGAAAAGTACTTTAAAAGTGCTTCTTAATAACATTATTGCTTAGAAAAGAGTGCCACTTTTATGCTAACCACTTTATGTCTCAAATTATATAAAGAAGGTATGTTTAGTACATTACTAATAGTCATAAACTAGAGATAAATCTCTTATGGTGTGAACATCAAACATCAGCTTCAGAATTTCAAAGGAGCATCACTTTGTCTTAGGGGTCATTTAGGAGCTGTGTTCTACTCAGTAATTAATCACAAAGAGCATGTTTCAGGAAAAGACCCTTTCACACAATTCAGCCTTTTTTTATTCAGTCAGGGTTTTTAATGTTAACTTTCAAGGGATTCATTTGTGGTATAAGGAGAGTTGGAGAGGGAAGAGTATTTACTTTTTTTGAGGTGGGAACAAAGTAAAAGAGCTATATTTTTTCTGTTTTCCTCCCCTCTCTTCTCTCCCAGTTTCATCACGGGGCCATGAGGGTATTGCTTCAGCCATTTCTCAAAGGGTTAGAGTTAAATGTTAAAACTTACTGAAAGTCTCTTTAGGCTTAATCCAGTTTTTCTTCCCCTCTAAACCACATTAAGGAAAGGGCCAATGTTCTGATTTTAGAATAAAACATTATTATAACAACATCCAAAGTGTTATATAACTGGTACAAAATTCAAGTTTAATTTAACATCTTGGTTATAAAGCCACGGCAGGGTGGTGTTAATTATGCAGATGACAGTGAACACAGGGCACAGCAAACCACAACCAGGGACAAAGATGGTATTAACAGACCCTAGAAAAGTTAAGAAAACATGATCAAGAAATGAAATGAGATTTACATTTGAGGTAAAGTATCTCAGAAAGAATAATGCAAGTAAGAAATTGAAAGACACAGCAGTGAATTGGGGTGAATCAGATAGAATTTACCCTCAGAATAACTGCTTTTGTTTCTATTTGTGTGATCAGATAGATTCATGTTTTAAGCTCTGTATACTGTGGATGATTTGTATAGTCCAATGAGCTAAGACCAAATGAAAGAAAATCAGAACTCGCAAAGCATCTTCTCCTTGGCTTGACCTGGAGAACTTAATTTGTGTTCACTTCTGTGCAGAAGGTGACCGAATTGCCGAAATGCCCTCATACCTAACTGGAGCATGGTTTAAATATAAAATGCTTCAGAAACCTAAGTGTCACAGACCATTACAGTAAATTACAGGCTTCAGAAATACGATTTAGTAAGATAAATTGCAACCATTGAAATATTTGGAACCACCACTTAAAATATTAGCGATTGTTTTCGGCAGCCACCGTTCTGTGTATGTATTAAGTATAAGTAATGACTGAGGGCCCCTAATTCTTTCCACTGATGGTGTTAAATGAAGACCATTTTCTGTCTTTACCACACGTGTAAAAGATTTTGCATCATGTGATCAATCCCAATTAAAACTTGTTTCAAATGGTAAATCAAAATGTAATGCTAATTAATGTGTCATCCTCCTATTTCCTGCAGTAAAACCCTCGAAGATCGTTTGAAACTTGAAGCAAAAAATGGGACATTGAGTGTATCAGACACCATGGTTGGCAGCAAACAATTGACCTTCACATTAAAGAGGGTAAGTTGTTTTCCTAATGTTATTTTTAATTTGCAAAAGAAAAATAGGATTCCAGTGGTGCTGTAGATGTGTCTGGACGCAAAACTGCCTTCCCAAGCTTTCCCCCTAGTGGGGAAGCTGTGTTTCTGTTCTGGCATTTTCCTTAGAGCCAGAGCCCCTCCTAGAACACGCTGCTTGACTGAGGCAGAGCTGGGCGTGTTTTGGTGTCCAAGGGAGGCGGGCCTCAGTGACCAGAGAGCTGGCATTGTCAGTGAGGAGCTGGCAGTATGGTTTCTGGGTCACCAGGCCACATGAGCTGCACTTCCAAAGTGCTGACCACCTAAGGCTATGAAAGAACGCTTATAGCTTTTATGGACTTCAGAGAAGACCAGAATTGGTGAGTTCTGATACCTTCATGACAGTAGTGTGCAGCTTACCCAGGACACTATACTGGCAGATGGCAAATTACTCCATCAGTGGTAGGTCCTATTCTAAACTGATTAATAGGAGTTGTTTCTTTAGCCAGCTATAAAAATGCCTGGTACAAATTAAAGGAGGAATAAACTGCTGAAATATTTGCTGTTAAGTGATGAGTGAAACTACATGGTTCTCTTTTTCAAAAACTGTTTTTCTCATTTAGTTGATCTTAATCTATATGGACACCAAGTGGGAAAGAATGGCAAAGACTCTGCCTCTGATTCTTTTTTTAAATTGGGATATAATTCACTTACCATAAAATTCACCTCTTTAGAGTATACAAGTCAGGGTTTTTAGCACATTTGCTAAGGTTTGTAATCATCAGCCCTGTCTAATCCCAGAATATCCTCATCACCCCAAAAAGAGCCCCATAACCTGTAGCAGTCACCCCAAAGTCCCATCCCCAGCCCCTGGCAACGACTAGCCTCCTTTCTGTCTCTGTGGATTTGCCTGTTCTGTATGCTTCATATAAATGGAATCAGACAATATGTTTTCTTTTATTACTGGCTTCTATCATTTAGCATGTTCTCAAGGTTAACCCTTGTTGTGGTGTGTATCAGAACTTGGTTTCTTTTTTATGACTGCATAATATTTCATTGTGTGGATAATACCACATTTTGCTTACCTACTGTCCATGTGTTGATTGAAATTTGGATTGTTTCACCTTTTTGTCAGGGGATAGGGGACTGTGCTAAGTTATGCTGCTATAAAATTCAGGCATATGCTTTTGCATTGACATACGCTTTCATTTCTCTTCGGTATATACGTACAAGTAGAATTACTTGGTCATATAGCAACTGTTTAACCTCTGAGGAACTGCAAGCCTGTTTCCCAAAACAGCTGAACCATTTCACACTCCCACCAGGAGAACACACAGGTTCCATTTCTCCACATCTTCACCACTACTTGTTATTGTCCATCTTTTTCATTATGGCCATCCTATTGGGTGTGAAGTGATACCTCATGGATTTGGTTTGCATTTCCATGATGACTAATGATGTGGAGCATCTTTTCATGTGCTTATTGGCCATTTATATATTTTCTTTGGAGAAATATCTGTTCATATCCTCGGCCCATGCACCTCTGAGTCTTTGTTCTCTCTGATGTCATTCAGGAGGTTTGCCAGATGAGAGCTTTTTATTCTCTGTGTAAGAAGCCTTCCATTAAATCTTTCTCCATTCAGAGCAAATCTGTACTCTTGCATTCTCATGTCAGTAAGCAAGCCCAAACCAGATGCCTGTCAGGAGTCATTTATCATGCCTGTTCCTAGCTTGTCATAAATTCACTGTGCACCTTCAGCCATTTCCTGGCTCCCTCAGATAAAGGTTCCAGGGGTAAGGCAGGAGTAGCGTCACCAAGGCAGAGTGGCCGTTGCAGCGGGTCACCAGGCGCCTGGCTGCTGGACGGCCCTTGTGCGGTGAGAGCTAGCTTCTGTTGGCATGAGGGTGCGAGCACATGCCTTTGCCCACCTTTTTTTAATTGGAAGTTACTGAGTTGAATATCAGTTTATAATCTGTGATAAAATGAAAATAAAATGACTCTGAAATTACTTATTTTTGCTAAAACTAAAGAAGCACTAAGAAATACTTGAAATGGCCTCATGGTTGGTCAAGCAGAGGCTTTGAAACTTTCTGAGAATACATCAACTAATGTTTGACTTAACGCCTGTTATATCATTTAACTAACAAAATTTTCACTATTAAATCTGTTATTTGAGAATGTTTAGGGATTTGTGTATTTATAGAAATCTCTTTTTGTGTTAGGTGTGTGATAAATATTGTTAAGTAAAAGCTTTAGTTTTCTCAGTATTTTTATTTATACTTCTAAAATGTAAATAATATTTTAGAGGAAAGTCTGTGCTTCAATATTATTTAAAATTGTATTGTGCAAAATGGATCAGATCTCCAAATCCACTTCTAAAATTCCGTATAATCCAGGCCCTCCTCAGATCTCTGCCCAGGCTGCTGCTGATGCGGGCGTGCGGGTCTGTGCTTGTCATGCTTCTCCGTGACAGGAGCGAAAGGGGGAAGAAGGGCAGGAAAGCATGGAGACCAGCTGCTTGGCCCGTAAGCGCCTTGTAGAGTGAGGCTAAGGAGAGTCATTTTCTGGACGGGTTTGTCTGCAGGGTGGTCCCTGCTACAAGCTCGTCTGTAGGCTCCTGTCTTTGTGGGGAAGGTCTGGCAGCATCTTCCCCAGATGCGCTTCTGGAGATGCAGAGGTACTCGCAGGAGACTGCTTCGCCATCGACGCATAAGGAAATGCCTGCAACTGATGTCTGTAGTGAAGGCGCACAAAACACGTAACTTAGAAGCTCTGGCACACCCTGTAGGTCTTTATTTAGTACATCGTTACAAATCACTTGAACAAGAAACTTTTTTTAGAACTATTTTTTAACATAAGAAACAAAATATTAACCAGTGTTTGTGAATTTCACCAGGCTTTTGATGATAGCATCATTCAGTCTGCTGGGGAGGGTGCCATTGCCCTCAGCTTTTCTGAGTTTTCTATTAATACATGTGTATCAAGTGTCTGCTCTGTGCCATGTGCTGTGGACACACGGAACAAGACAGACATGGTCCTTGCCCGTCGTAATTGTCTGTCTTACGTCATTGTAATGGCTGTGGGTGCTCCAGGGGAGGGCGGGGTGTGCCCGGCGGAGGAGCTGGGGCAGTGAGTGATGTTCAGGCGGGTCTTCAGGTCGAGGAGGGCCTCTGCACAGGTACTATGTGCACAGGGTTCTTCGTTGAGGAGGGATAGAGCCCGTGTGTAAAATAAGTGGCCAAGGGAGAGTGATTCAGATGAAATGGAAAGTCCTGTGGGAACTGATTGTGTTAAATTTTAACCTAATCCTGAGAATTGTGGGACGTTGTTGAAAAGATTTAGTTAGCAGAAGACTGACATAACTATTTTTATTTTTTAAAACTCGCTGTGGCTATTGCGTGAGGAGTGGACCAAGGGGCGCAGAGAACAGTACCCCCAGCTCTCTGGGCCGGGTGCCAGCCAGGGCATGTACTCAGGAGGGCAGCATTTATTTTGAAAAAGCACTTGAAGAAATGGTAATAATCAGAAAAAGAACCTAAAGAATTATACAGAATCCCAGCTTAAGAGCTTCCTCAAATGGAGGAAATTCATCTGGTTTTGGTCTTACAAATTGCTTTTCTTTCCAGCTATTCCCTCACTCACTTCCCAGCTCTTTAATTTTTTTAATTGAATAATACCAGCTAGAGGTGAATATGGAAACGTTTTCTTCAAAAGCAAAATACAAATGAATATGAAGTGCATAGGAAAACATAAATCATAGTCAAGCAGACTCCCCAGGTCTTTGTATAGCAACGTTTTTCAATTTTCAAACCCGAAGCCCCTGGCAGTGCCCTGTCAGCTCTCCTGCGCAGGGCCACCTCCTGCTAAGCATATTTTTTTGAGCTTTGCAGGAGTTTGTATTATCAACATCAAAGGTGTTTTTAAAACTACACAGATCTTACCTTCATGGTGGATTCTGTACTAATACTCTGAGAATTTCTGCTAGAAGCAGTGGGCCTATTTGGGGAGGGGAGAAGGTCCCACTCTCGTCCAGCCAATGAGCATGGGGCCTTTGCAGCGGTGGCCTGCTCACTCCCTGCTCCTCCGGCTGTGACCTTGTGGCTTCTCTGCCAAGCCTCTCTCCATGGTTTAACAGTACACATCTCTGGCTATCGGGGGGAGTTTGATTTTCTGGAAATAGCCAAAAATTCTTTGGAACCAGTTCTGGTGAATGAATGCTTAATCATCAGTGGATAATTATATACTTTTAGTACATAAAAGTATTTTTTTGTTTTGTTTTCAAGACAGTGTATAAATTAATGGTCTGGCTTATAAATAAAAGACAGCTGTACAAGAGAAATCATGGGCGTTTTGTAAGCAACAGCATCTTCCCAACTTGGTGCTTTGCAAGAAGGGGAGCAAAATCCTCTTAAACCATCCTGGCAGTGCTGTATGCTGACAGAGAAGCTGGTCTCATGCTTTGTAGCTCAGACTGGTCTGTCAGGGCACTTCTCGTACCAGGAGGTTAGGATTTCTGGTTTTACAGGGACTGTGAAAGTTGACCCTGTCCTGCTGTCTGCTGGAGCAGCCGTGTAGGACCAGAGTCCAGTAGCCAGAGTGCTGCCATGGCCTCTGAGGCCCTTCTCTGAGGGCTGTGCTGGGTGGTTGTGCTGTGGTGTTCTCATGGTTATAAAAAAAGGCGTGTTGCAGGGCATAAATCTGCAAAGAAGTAAAAAGCTAACCTTTTCAAACAATATTGCTTCTCTCTCACTTACCAACTTTACATTTCCCTGTATGGCCCCGGAAGATGACTGGTTAGCCAGAGACGGGTAAGATTCCTCAAGGGAGGAACAACCTAAGACAGGCACAGTTGCAGGGGGGCCATCAGGTGAGAAATTGGGGAACAACAGTGGTGAAGCTTAGAACCTCACCCC